TCAAATCGATTTCGCAGTTTGAATCGACAGGAGGTCGACGTGGGGAGTCAAAAAGACATCGATGTCGATGTCAATTTCGATCTCATTTCGAACCCACTTTTCGACGTCGAATCGACGTCGGGTCGACAATTGTTTCTCACTGGGTGTACATACGTTCCTATCGTCTTACATTTCATTGGATCCAACCCAAAACAAAAGTTGCGCGGCGATACCTGCGCGAAGACCTTTGAGTATATAGATACCTGGAAGTGGAATGCCTTTGTTCTCTGCAGGCCGCAAGCGAGTCCAAGAGTGGCAAGGAATGCGAGAAAGAAAGATATACGAGCGATACCACGTGATACTTCGTTCTCTCTGTCTGTTAAATGATCGACGCATGCGCAGAGAGGACGAACATTACTCGTCTACCTTTCTCTCTCGCACACATCTTGGACACAGTTTTCGAGCCAACATTCCCCCTCCAGTCTATATACTCAAAGGCGAAAACTCAGTTTTTCGCTGAGTGGACCTACTGGTTATACTGTGGTATTGGCTGCGTTCCGCAAAGCGCATCATGCGCATGATATATCATGATATCCTTGTTGTTCATCAAATGTTAAACAAAGATAAAAAGATAAATCTTGCGCATAATGCGCTTTGCGGAACGCAGCTATTGACTTGTTTCACGACTATGAATTGAAGCGCCATCTTAAGACTATACTTAAGACGATCTTGAAAATAAGCCTTGACTATGAATACAGGCCATGTCCATAAAAGTGTCATTACATACAAATTGCGCATGCGCATTAAAAACTTGGCATTGAAAAAAAGTGATGTATCGTAACCTACAGATACTATGTTAACTGTGTAAGTTACAGGTAAGTAGCTACTGTGGCCTACGATCAGAATCTTATTTTTTACTTTTACGATCTCTTTCTTCGCAAGAGAGGCATTTGGATTTCCAATTATTCTAGTGGCACGGTTAACATTTGTGTTCTTTGTCTAAGTTTGGTAAAAATAAAAAGGCAGTAAAGGAAGTTGACTGTCGCTGTAAAATTGTCAAAAATGATTTGATAACGAGGTAATGCAGAAACAAGAAATCACATATCTTACAATACTGAATATTGTTACGATGTACGGACATAATTTTCTCGATTCATTTTCAAGTTTTTTCTTTTAGCTGCTATACTATGCTAACTTACTAAAATATTCTTATTACGATGAAATATATTATTATATACAAAAATTAGAAAAAACTGCATAAAAATAATAATATATAAACGTGAAAAAATTTGAAAAGTTTGTATCAAAATTTTTATTATAGGTTAGAGATTTCTAATTAATAGAAAGAAATAACAGATTTTTGGAAAGAGAAATCCGAAAAAAGGCAATTTGGAAAGAACAGATGTTGGTCATACGAGTAATAAACATCATTGTAACAAAGTCCAATCGAACCAATGCAATAGATAATATGGACAATAGTGCTCCTGGATATGTTCCGTATCACACTGAGGTTATGTCACACGCGATGGACTGACAACATTTTTTGATTTCGGGCGCTTTAAAACAGAAGAACGCGTCCAGTGAGAAATTTATAATATGATACATCCTTTCCTCGAGGAAGATGCCTGGTGTTACTGGGTTGTTTCAGTTGGTGCCCTGCTATCATTCCTCGGCCTCGTTGCTGCTTGTATCTGCAGTTGTCGACGAAACGAGAATAAGTAATTATACTAACGATTTGTTACTAATTATGATTTACTGTGATAAATAGATATTTCTACTAAGTTATTAATTTATTATAAATATTAGCATTTATGATAAAGTAAATACAATAGGAAATATTTTTCTTTAGTATGATTATTTTAATATAATAAATTAATGTTATATTTTTATTGAGTTAATGATAATTTATAAATGTAGATTTCTTGCTTATAAGAATTAGTCGTTTTTAATATATTTTTTAAAACGAATTTGTAAATTAACAATTTTATATTGTACAATTATAATCATACTATAACAGGAATGAATTTTTGGGGCTTGCTGGAATGGTAACACTGAATAATTCTGAAACAGACAATTTCAACAGAATTCTGACATTAGATGTATCCCAGGTTGTTAAGCAGGATGTCAACGATGGAAAAAGGTTTTTATTTAAAAAATAAATTACAATATTGCATGTATTTTCTTAAATATATTTTTTAAGTATAAGCATTCTTGAATATTCTGAATAATTTGCTGTTACATAATATTAACATATATTATATGCATGTCTATTTAAGAAAGGATTTTAAAACAGTAATTTGTCTCACTCAATCCTACATGCAACTTAAGATTTTCAACCCTTCTCTTCCTCCTCCCTCGCCCCCTCGAAGAGTTGAAGTTGGTGTTTTCAATGTCAAATGATACATTATATTTTGTCATTGTAATCCTATAAATTTTAATCCTTATAAATTTTAATCTATAAATTTTAATATCTTGAACATGTCAAGATCAAGGACATTAAAGGCCATTAAAGGTTGTTGCTTTTATTTTCATATTTGAAAGTTATATTTATTTAAAAAAAAAAGAGAAACAATCTCCAATGGTCATGACCTTCACATATTTTATCAAGGAGTTCTCGAGGTAAGCTACGAGAATATGCAATAAAAAATGGAGGGTTCTATTTAAAAAATTTGAAGTGACCTTTACCTGACCTTGCCAGTACTACCCAAAGTCAAACCAATGGTATCATTTTATGTTCCCCTTGAAATTAAACAACTTTTGTTTGAAACATTTTTTTGTATCTGTCATAGTTTTCGAAAAATCTTAAAGCGCATTTAAAAATGGGATACTCTGTGTGTGTGTGTGTGCGTGTGTGTGTGTGTGTGTGCGTGTGCGTGTGCGTGTGCGTGTGCGTGTGCGTGTGTGTGTGTGTGTGTATATATATATGCATATTTAAATGAAATATTTTATTTATCAGGACTACAAGTGCCAATAGAAGTCTTCCAGATATTCCAAAAGATAAAAGCAGAGAACATGAGGACATGGTAGATACAGGGCCTCAAGATATTTATGAAATTACTGAGATTATGGGGGACCATTCAGAATTGTATGCTACAGTCCAGGATGCAGGTAATATCAAATTAATTAAAGTAAAAAGTAATTTAAATTATTGAAATTAGAAAAAGTAAGACTATTATTTTATTGTACTGTTTTATTTTCTATCAATTTATCTTTTAGTTCAAGAACAAATGTCTGAAAGAGAAACACAAGAAATTATCTTGCAGGGGTGTTCTTTGCCACAAGATACATCTCATCAATATGCAAGATTTGCATCATCTGTTTCTGATAATGGTAGGTGAATTATTTTAAAATTTTTTTATATTTGTTAATTATTTAATGATATTTTAACTTATTTCAGTTGAACATCCTTATGCACAACTTCAAAATGTTCAGAAGACTGAGGCTAGTCAAATAAATAGGTATTTATTAATTAATAATTATAATTTGAATAAGACCGCCTATGTGGATAACACAATTAAATTTGAGAACGCCTTTCCACTGTCAAAGCTGGACTTAACGAATTCTATACAAATTTTCTTAACTCCACGTACAACCGTTAAACTGCGCGCCGATTAAATGTTTGGACTTGTAACGGAATTATTAGCTGAATAGAAATATTATTGATCTTTCTAATCAATCAACGCTTATAAGCATCTCAAATACTGAAAAGAATTTATTGCGAAAAATATCTCAGCCAGGATTTGAACCTGGGACTTCCCGACTTTTCGGGACGAATCTTAATCAGCTCGATTACCGAGGCATGTGATAATATTTATTGCAATAATCTGTATATATTAAATGAGAACGTATGCTAAGAGGCACACGTGTATTAAATAATAATTATATTTTGAATAAGACCGCCTATGTGAATAACACAATTAAATTCGAGAGTCCCAGGTTCAAATCCTGGCTGAGGTAATATTTTTCGCATTAAGTTGTTTTTAGTATTTAAGATGCTTATAAGCATCGATTCATTAGAAAGATCAATATATTTCTATTCCAGTCTCTATTCCAGTTAATAATTGTGTTACAAGTCCGAACATTTAATCAGCGCGCAGTTTATCGGCTGTACATGGAGTCAAGAAAATTTATATAAAATTCGTTAGACATCTAATATCCAGCCTTGACCGCGGAAAGGCGCTCTCAAATTTAGTTATTTATTTATTATTTCTATGCTTAATGTTGTTGCGTATATTATACCATTTCATATACAATTATCTCAGAGAATATGTATTTAATATTTATTCTTATAATTCACAGAAATAATGTTAATCAAGTTACGAATATTGAAAATCCATCAACATCAATGGATCAATCAAATGGAAATCCAATCGCACCACCAAGAACCCGACGATCCTCCTCGCATAATTCGCTTCTTAATTCCGAGACACATGATATTCAGGCTGCTAACGCTATCTCTGGTAGTGTTCAAGCTAATCAAGATTTGCCTTATATGACACCACCCCTTTTGATGCTACTGCCACATCCACCACATCCCCAACACAATAGTCCGCAACAGCATTTCAGTGGAGACTCGCAAGATTCGAGTAATTGTGCATTATTTTCTTTTTTGAGTATTTCTCGTGTGATAAATAATTTTTAACAATTTGCATTTTTATCTTTCTAATATAGAAGGTTATACAAGCATAAGCGTAAGGGAACCATTAGCTAATATAATAGCACAGACCAAAGCAACTTACAGACAAAATCAAACTATTCGACCAATCACTGATCCTCATTATGCCACTGTTTCTGATGATTCTGGTAAATAAATTTTAGAAGTATGCCATAATAAATATAATGTACAAGAAACCTTATACAATCTGATATGTCATAGATGAAATGTATGCCGCAATTGATGAGCAGGATAAAGTATATACCAGCGGCAGCGAAACGTATGCACAAATTCAACCAATGACATCAGAAATGCAACGACAAACACAACATGAACAAATAGTATTTTGTCAGCCTCCGCGTGTAGAAGAAACACATTCTGCACCTCAACCTCCAAGTGTCGACAGTTTACGTCATGTTGCACACGCCCATTCTAGGCAAGGTAATAAATTCCATTGTGTTAATTACATAATTTAATAAAAAATTTAGTAAATATGAGGATAAGAGTTAGTGAGCCGACACAAGATCTTGCTTATAAATATAACCCTAACAAAAACCCTATTTAAAAAAACAAAACATTTATCCCAAGTATATAAAAAAGTATCGTATATTTCATATCTTTCCTAAACCAAAAATATTATTTTAACAAATAAAAGTAATCCAAAAACAAATATGAGATCATACCAGATGCCAAGAATTTAATTAGACGCAGAGACAAAAATATTTTTTTAATAAACTATTTAAACCATCCAAAAGTATATGCTGCAAAAGTTTAAAGCCATTGTCTTTCCAAATAATTTTAAGTTTTATAAAAC